CCTTGCGAAGATCAGAACACCAACATCAAGATCAGAACAGCCACATCTCCTGGGCTTCCTGGTTCTTCTTTTCTCAGTGAGTGCCAGTGAGTGACACTGCGGACCTCCATCCATCTCAAAATCAGCCTTCTTTTGGTTCCCAGCTCTTGACTCTACCTAGGTTCTTCAGGTTTTTAGTCAAAAAATTCTTACTGAGGGCCCAGTCTTTTGTAAATGCATACTATAAAGGCTTAGAGTAAATCCTGAAACACAGAAACACATCACCTAAGACTTAGCTCCCTCTCAGAACCTGCGTCTAAAGGTCACATTCACCACGCTCAGGTTTGGGACAATAGGAGGATGCTTTCTTTACTCAAAGTGGCTTCATGTGACTTCTAAAGCACCTCTCTGTGTCCCCGTATGGAAGTCCACACAGCAGACTCAGAATGACAACTGCTTTAAGTAGCACTCTGACCTCAGAATCAGCCCTTAAAGGCTTCCTAGTCTGGCTGGGAAGCCAAGACATTGATCAAAAATGCTCTACGTGAAGGATCTCTGTGAGTGAGATCCCAGAGGAAAGTGGCCATCAAAGAAGGATGTACTTTTCTCTAAAGGGAGGAGAGAACTTCCACTTTGTTTATGGCCTTGTCTAAATACTGATGGAGTTTGTGGACTCAAAAGGCTTCCTTGGCAGCTCATTTCAAGAGCCTTGGGGAGTGGGGTGGGTGGTCACTGATGTCATACATAAGAGTGTTAATTGTTAAATTAACAGGAGTCACCATGCACTAACTTTCCCATGCAGGACCTCTGTCCTCAATGAGTTGCATTATGAGAGTTAACTGTAAAACTAGTTGTTTTATTAGTGTGTGTGCAAACTGTCAAAATATTTACTTAGTATAGAATTGGCATTCTGTGTACAAAGTTAACTGAAAATAAATCTTAACGAAGAATGGGACTGGGAAGTGGAGAGGAAGGAGGAGGAAGAGGGGTGGGAGGGCAGGTATAGTGAGAATAGTAACTATATTCCTAAAGTTGTACTTATGAAATCAGACCTTAAAAGATAAATAAGCAAAAATAAAGCACCTCTCTTCTCCACAGAAATTACAGTACTATGCAAACAGTACAAGGGAATATGTGAATAACATTGTACATGCCACAAATGTTCAAATGTGAAGTGTTCAACACCACTCATGGTAAAATATACCAGAACACTGATCTCAACCATTTTTACACGTGCACTTCAGTGGCATTACATACATTCACACTGTTGTGCATCCATCACCACAGTCCAGCATCACAAGTTTATCGTTCTACATTTAAACTCTGTACCCTCCAACTCATTTTAACTATTTTCCTGGTTAAAGTCAAGGTTCCCACCACCATTATCTTCTCTTGCTTGCTGACCTGGCATTCCAGTATTCATCACTCAAGTTCCACCTTGCAACCACCCTCAATTCCCTAGCTCCTGTCACACTCGTGGGCAAAACTCCAACCCTGGCTGAACAGATTACCTGCCTGATCTCTGCTGCTTTCACGTCCCCTGAATGTTCCTGCCAGGAAACCGCATGAGCCCAGCTGGCTAGCTGAAGGTGAAACCACAATCCCAACTCTCAATGCCCGGCAGTCCTACCTTGTTTCCCACTGAGTTCCTAGTCCTGCTACCCAAGGCGAATTAACTCCCCCTCTCCTGAAACCATGCACCACCTTTAAGTGGCTGGCCCTGCCTCAGACATCACTGAGAAAACAAAAGCCAAGACAATGCTAAATCACCTCTGATTCAGAAACCTCCTTGCACCTGCGCCCACCTTCTCGGCCTTCTCTCCTGCCACACAGCAAGCATTCTTGCTCCCATCAAAGGCAAACCTTCTGTGTTTTCAATTTCTTCTCACTGTCTCATGAATTCTGCTCCTCTGAGTCTGACCTCTCTTCTGCATTAGTCTTCCACGATATTCTCATTGGCCTATTGCAAATGCTCTCCTAACTCCTGTTACTTAAGCCCTCTTCCTTCACCCCTTTCCCCAGCCACTGCTGAGTGGTTTCTCTCTTCACCTCACAACATTCACCTCCTCTCCCATTCTTTTCCCCCAATGCTTTCCAAACTGGTGTCTACCCCACTTGCCACACTCCCTGTTGCCAGATCCAGACAGACAGTTGTTTAACTTAGCAGCATTTGATGGAAGGGATCACTCCCTCAGTCTGGAAGAGGATAAAATACTGCCATTAGGCCGGGCCTTCTGTCTCCCCCACCCAAGCTTTAGCCATTCAAAATGCCTCAGGACTTGACCTTAAGACCTCTGATGGCAAATGATCTCAGCCAGCTTCTTGCCTCACCATCTGCATGCCAGCGACTCCCACAGTTTATGTGCAGTCTAGACTACTCCTCTAGCTTAGCTTGAATATTTACTGCCTACTCGATTTTTCACTTCAATGTCACACAAGTACTTCAAAAAACAACAGGTTCCACGTGGAAGTCCATTACCCTCCCTTCCCTGTTCTTTTTTCCAATCTTTTCCACCCAGGAAACGGTACCAGCAGCCAGCCAAAGCTTAGGCCAGAAGCCTGAAGGCATCCTGGATTCTCCCTTCTCCCTCTGCAGCCAATCTACTACTCAAATCTTTCTGATTCCACCTCCAAAATACATCTCTAACTTGACAGCTGCTTTTTTTCCACCTGCGCTGCCATTCTACTTACCTAAAATGCCATCCGTCTTGGGCTGATGATTGTAAGCACCTCCTGCCTCCCTTTCTGCTACATCTTTCTCCAGGTAGTAGCGACCTTTCCCTATTTAAAATCCTTCAACAGCTTCTCATTGCCACCAGACTTCAATTCACACCCCCACCTCGTGGCCTACCACAAGAGGCCCAGCAGAATCTCTCCAGATCCAGCTCACTCCATCCTCCCCTTGCTCACACGAGCCTTTTCACCACTCTCACACTCTGCCTTTCCAGGCCCATGCACTTGTTCCCAGGGCTGGAACATCTCAGCTTTTCACATGGTTAGCACAAGCTCACGTTTCAACGTTTCAATTCTCAGCTCAAACACCACCTCTTCCCCGACCCTTCTTCCTAGCCCAAATGAGCGAACTAACACATTCTCCTAGACCCAATAGTCACATCAGAGTGTTCCTTAATCCGTAATTATCCTGATAATTGTATTTATTTTCTATCTACCATAAATTCTGAGTGTAGATAATTGTTTTGAATTCCATTAAAACCTACTTCTCAATCTGTCTTTCTGTGTCTCTCTGCCTTTCGAACAAAATGAAAATAAATAAAATTTAAAATAAAGAAGCTACTCTTTCCCTCTAAGAAGGTATATTTGAGGTTTCCCTTCCATTCAAGGTTTACTGGATTTTGGTCAAAGATCATAATTACACGGGCATTCACCATGAAAAACAAGAGGAGAAAAACCACAAGAGACATGCAAAAGCTGGAACTTATTCCACCTCACCCCACCCAGCGGTCTAGACGGGACAGACTGCTCATAGGTATTCAACAGCAACTCCTTACAAAAAATTTCCAATGTGGAGGCAAGAGCAATGTGGACATATGCAAAGACAGTATAATACTAACATCTGCATCGGAAATCTGTTTTTAATCACTCCCCCTAGCAATCACTAAACAGGATGATGACTTGAGAAGAAGGCACAGCAAACAACTACAACACATGATCCCTGCTCCAGAGATGTGAATGATCTCATCACTGCCTTGGTTCTCATTTGTCAGGTCATCCACTCAGCCATCTGCTCAAGGTGTTCCCGTCTGTGTTCTTATTTATCATCTGTTCTTTCATGTTGAATACAATTTGCCCATTCTACCTCCTCACATCCAGAAGGTATGTTCATAATTCAAAATTCAGGAAAAGATCCTTTCTTATAATGATTTATCTCTAGCTCTCTTATCTCAGGATCCTTTCTACCCTCACCCTGATTTCTCTATCAAGCCTGCATTCAAATCTATTTTTGTTGTACAGCTGCTGTCTTTAAACGAGTCAGCAGGGCTAGAACAAGAAGCCTGTAAAAGAACTTCTCGCTCCAATGAGACAATGTATTTTTAAAATGTATGAGTTTTTTTTTTTTTTTAAAGTCTTAGGATACCTAGACCTTTCAGTGAGAAAATAATCTCAGCTAATTTGATAAATGGCAGTTATTGGGGAAAAAAATAAAACTGAGAATGACACGAGCAACCAAACTGCTGGATTTCAAAATGACAGGGGCCTTAATTCTCACTTTGCAATTCATAGAAGAGCCAGCAGCACAGTGCACAGTGCAAGACAGGATATCCACACTGGAACCACCTGGAAGGCTCTGGAATAGCATGGACTCCGTGATAGTCAGATTTTGGTTATCCTTGGAAGTCAGAACTTCAGTCATGGAAGTCAGGGCCTTAAGATGTTGGAAGTCAAAGTTTAACACTGAGCTTGCTTCGCATACTGGGAAATGACCCAAAAGGCCCCAGAAAATAATGAAGGAAGAGGGGATGTCACAAATCTCTATTTAAACGTTCAAAACATTTCCCCTGCTGATTCCGAGGCTCACATTTGGAAACCGTAAGCGTCAAGCAAAAGAACAGGGCTTCTGGGCTCCAAGGCCAACCTTATCAGATAAAACTGCGAGACCTTGAACTATTAGCAAATTTCTACGGACATTAGTTCCTTCCACCGTAAAGACAATAAAATCAACACTGCAGGGCTAGTACGACAGACAGGAATTATACAGAGCACCAAGCACAGTTCCAGGCATGCAATGATTGTTCAAAGCATGGTAGGTTTCACTCAAGGGTCCAAAACATGCACCATATACAGTCATCCCTTATAAACACAAGGGCCCCCCTACTGGCACCACTAAATTACCTTAATCCACCAGAAATTAACTAGTTACTTTCCATCTCTGTGGACTCCTAGGGAGATCAAAGCCTTAGGCCACTTCCCCTTCCCTTTCCTGTAACAACTTAAAACAAAGTTAAACAACACCCCCCCAACCCAGGTCTCTAAGAGCTGCCACTCTGCAGAAAGATACTCACACGGATGCTTTTATGCAAACAGTGCAGGGCTGCTTTTTAGAAAGGGAAAGAAGGGGTGCTTTAAAGAGAGTTTACTTTTGCAGATCAGAGTTCTAAAAAACCCTTATCACCTACTACTAGGCAACCCAGTTTCCAATCACTGTAATCGCCCACAACCTGACAACCAGATAAATGTCTCTCCAGGGTTTCCCAGGACAAATACAACCAAACGAAATATGGGATCCACGGAGAACCACGTCACTGGAGGGCGAGCAGACACTGTCCTCGACTCTTTTCCTGCAATTTTTGTTATCCTGGTTTGACTCCGTTCTCAACAACTGGAAGAGGATGAAGAAAACACCCAGGGCTCCGTCCCCGGCCCAGCCAGGGAGGACAGAGCCGTCCGGCTTCAGGTCGTAGGAGAGAAGACGCCAGGACGGCCTCACCGCCATCGGGTAGCAGGGGGTGCGGCGCCAGGGAGGGCCCCCATGGCCCGCGAGGCCCGACCCCGGCCCACCTGCTGCCCCAGGGACATGGCGGGAGGACCCAGACGCCGGCCCCAGCTCCCAACCTCTCCAAGCCGGCGGCCTCGCCTTTTTGAGTCTGGGGGCCGCGAGAAAGGGGAAGACCCCCGCAGCCCCAACTCCATCTACAGAACGCAGCCGCCCGCTCGCGGCTCCCCCTCGACCCAGGCTTCGCGGCGCCTCGGCTGGCGCGGCGTCCGCGGAAGGCGCCGCCCGCGCCGCGAGGGAAAATGGCGCCCGTCGAGCAACTGCGCCACCAGCCCTGGCGACGGGCCAGGCCCAGCGCCATCTTAGCGCCTTCCAGCCGCCCTCCCACCCCCCACCCGAGGTCCAGCGTTCGGGACGGCTCGGGGGCCGCGAACCGCGCCGGGCCCGCGCCCTCCCAGCACACGAAAAGCACCGCCGCAGTCTCTCTTTTCTTCCCGGCCGACGCCGGCCTCGCGGGGGGCTCCAGGCTGGGCCTCGAGTCCTCGGCGCGGCTCCCGGGGCTCGTCCGGGTCGGGCCGCGGGTCCTCGGCGGCGCTCCGGAACCAGGCAGCGGCCACCGGGAAGGGGAGCCCCGCCAGCAGGTGCGCGCCGCCGCCGCCGAGGGCCGGGGTCGGGGCCGGAGCGGCCGCAGGCCCCGAGCTCTCCCGGCCGCCGCGGCCGCCAGCCGCAGCGGCGGGAAGGAGGAAGCCAGGATGAAAAATAAACCCCGTCCCAGCCGCCGCCGCCGCCGCCGCCCTCCCCACCCTGTCCCCTCCCCCTCCCCAGACGCGGGGTCCATTTTGCCGAGAAGAAAGAAAATGCGATTCACACCCAAGAGCTTCCGAGAGAGAAAAGGAACGAGGGGGGGAAAACAGAGGGGAGGAGATTGGAAAAGCTTATTTTTCTTCCTCGGCCGCCGTCACTCCAGGCCCTCCCTGCCCCCTGCTCGCGGCCCCGCCGCGCCGTCCTCCCCTCGCCGAGCCCCGCTCCCTCCTTCCCGGCTCCCGGCGGCTCCGGGGGGCGGAAAACACACTCACACTCGCGCACACAACTAATTTTAAACCGGCTCAATCAATGAGTCATTAAAAGGCTTCCCTCCCCTCCCCTCCCCACCGCCAACCGCCACGCCACCCCCCTTCCCAGGCTCTCCCTCTCCCCGCTCCAGAAATTTGCATCCGCGGAAAAGGAAAAAAAAAAAAAAAAGAGGAAAGAAAAAAGAAAGGCGCCAGGGCCCCCACCCCGCCGAGGCGCCCCCGGCCGGTCACCGCCGCCCTCTGCGCGCCAAAAACACTGATCTTGGTCTTCCCGGGGCCCCGGCGGCGCTGGGAGAGGCATAAACACTCGATTCCCCTTTTCTCCGTGTCCATTAAACATCCACCCACCACCACCATCACCCACCCACAAACCCACCCCCCCCCCAAAAAAAAACACAGCCTTAGCCAATAGCTCTCTGGGCTGAAACCTAATATCCTGGTTTTGGCAACTCGGTGTTTAATTTGCTCCTCTTTCTTCTCTGTCTGTCTAGAGATAGATCTCCAGCCCCCCCTCCCTCGCTTTTCCCCTCCCCGAAGGAAAGAGGCAGAGGAAGGAGGTTGTGTGTTTTTTTTTTTCTCCTTGAAATTTTTATCACAAAACTCCCGCCGTTCAAGAGTATCTCCCTTCAACTAAAAGCAGCGCTCAGCCATCGTGTAGTTCTTGGCCTTGCACCAGCGTCGGCAACGGGGCTATAGGTTGGCACTGAGCCGGTCCCATAGCTCTGCACTAACGCCCTAGCGGGGTCGCCGCACGACTACGCTCTTGTTTTCGGTCACCAACGGGCCGGTAGGGGGGCGCCCGCTCCCCGCGCCCGCCCGGCCTTCATGCTCTGCGCCCGGGCAAACCGCTCGCCTGCTCCTCTACCTCCGAACTTCGGTTCTCGCCTGGCGAAAAATGTGGAGATTAGGATTTATTTAATTAAAAAAAAATTTTTTTTTACATCAAGCTCCAAGATTGTTAATTCTTGATTCCTTTGGGATTCTTTTGAACTTCAGAAATGTATTGGGGGTTTATTAGACAGTTTTTTTTTGGGGGGGGAGCTTTTAAAATAAAGGTCCACAGACGGCGTGCCAATCCTCTGCAGGCGAATTACACATGGAGCCAGCCAGACACACACACACACACTCCGGTTTTAGCTCGAATCGGGGTGGGGGGGAGGTTAAAGAAAAAACACGGCATTTGTTTGAAACCTTATTAAAGCGAGCCACTGTAAATAAAGTTTTTTGTATGTGCTTTTAAAAAACGAAAACACCACTTTTAACTTAGTTACCTGGTGACTAACTGGCTCACCCTAACTTTTAAAGGTACTAAACTTTGCAACACCCTCTTTTTCCATTCCCCATTCCCCAAATGCTTGCAGCCTTAGCTGTGAACCTTGTATGTCAACATTAAAAAGGAAAACAAAACTGGAGACCAAGGGAAGGTGAGGAGCTAAACAAATCACTCAATTCCCACTGCTTTCTCTGGACAGGTTCCTCTGACCTCTAGGCTTACGATTTTTCGTTAAATACGCCCCTCTTTAAATAGGGGAGCTACCTTTTAATACTCTTTAGTCCAAGTATAATTGCCACCTGTTTTAAATCTCAAATCTCAAATTATTGGGACCGCTCCCTTAATATCTAATATCCAAAGCGCTTCAATAAATGTCAATTAGGAGAGCACAGAGTAGGAGTGGGCTCCTCTGTAGTCCAGTTTAACAGCGGATGCCCCCAAAACAGGGTGGGGGTTTGTTGTTGTCTTTTGTTTTCAAATAAACTCAAAGAAACATAAAACATGAACTGAACAAGAATGTAAATTGGGTTTAAGGAAGGACATAAGGAAAATTCAGAGTTGTTGCAAAATTAATTAGTTTGTAACACATATAGTAAGTGGTCTTGCTGATAAACACAAGTGCTCAAACCTAGAAATTATGGGGAGTTCTAAATAAAATTATCCCTAGACTTAAATTATTTAAATGGAATTATTGTGTGGTTTATATATTCTATTAGCGTAAAAATCTTAATGGTGGTGCACCTTGCTTCTATTTATAGAAGGCTCCTGTAACTAGACTATATTGCACAAAATAAGCATGTCAAGGCTAGAATACAATGTTGTCATATTCAGCATAGAAGATCTTTTTAAAAATAAACCTTATCTTGTTTTAGCAATTGCTTTGTATTTAAACATGACTTGAAAACACCTTCAGTCATTTAGTATCACATAGTAACGTTCAAGTGTGTTTTCTCGTCGAGAATGTGTTACTCCAAAATCAGCCAGGGCCCTCCTCCAACAGTAGTCTTTGCATAAATTAGCATATTTTGCTACATTTACTCCCTGAACCAACCAGTTTTCTGATTGGTTCGGGAAAATTTTAAACATGTTTTAAAGTGTCTTTGGATTGGATGGAATTTAATAACACCCATCTTGAAGAAGTACATTTTGGAGGAGCCCATGGATTATTCGTTGCAATTAGGGCCCACCAAGCAAGCTTAACAGCTGTTGCTCCACAGCTCCAATGAAACATTAATGGACTTCAGAAAGAAAGCCTCCCAAGTCGGCCCAAAACGCCAAGGAACCATGAAGTCACTGAAAGGTGACCCAAAGCAGCTGAATTGACATCCTCAAGAAGAGCCCAAGGCATCGCAGACCTTCCACAGAGCACTCCAGTGGAACCGCACTGACTCTGAGGAACTGCTACGTCCACCCAGCCTTATGTTAGACACATACGTTATCACGGGAACCACACTTAAACCTGTAGAATAAAGTTTCAGTATCCTGATTTTGCAAATGACACTCCCAGTGAATACAAGTATTTTGCCCGGGGCCACCAGTGTCACAAGGGCAGACAGCAGAACCCAGGTCTGGTTGATTCCAAAACTCACCCTCAGCCATGCACGAAAAGGATCTTGGGAACAAGCAGTCCTGCCTTCTCAGTGCAAGATTAAGAGTTCAGTGGTGTGACAGAGGCAGAGAGGACAACCCTCTAATTAGTGAAGACCTACTTTGAGAATGCCAGTTGTCAAATCTAATTTTAAATCTGGGGGAGGGGTTTGCAAAATACTAAGAGCAGTGAGGGGAGAATTTAAGATTCTCCAGGTACCGTTGTGGGCATTCACAATGTGGCAAAGCAAAAAGACTTCTTTTTTCCCCCATGTGATGAAGTAAGGGCTGTCCCTTCATATGTAAAATGTACAATTATAGTGCATATACACAGGGTTTTGGTATCTGAATGTAAGTTAAGGAAATTTTTTAAGAGTAAAGTTCTTAAAATGGCCTTACTCTCTGCAAGTAATTGTAATTATATTAACATTTATTGACAAACAATTAAATGGTCATTTCTCTGATCCCCTAAGAAGGGCAACTGGACACAGGTTAAAAAAAAAAAGACAATGTAATTAGAACTGAAATGTTCTAGTATGGGGCTCAGGCCAGCAAATAAACAGGCCCAATGTCCTCATAACAATTAAAAGGGAAGGTGGTAATGTTTTTTCTCCTTCCAAATGTTCCCCTTGATTGGTCAGCGACTCTCAGAGGGGAGAAGGCAAGTGGTGGAGACGAAGTGAGGATATGCACAGCCAGATGTGTGCAGAGTACAGAAATATCCAACACAGCAGATCCGTGAGCAAGTGCTCCTCACAGTGTAGGTGAGATAAAGAAGCTTACATTCTCAGTGTGCATATGTCAGGTGCACATCTGTATTTCTGCCTTTCAGAGGTACTTATATTCTAAGACATTCATGTAGTGACTGTGGACTCAGACTGATCTGGGTTCAAATTCCACCTCTGTCATTCACAGGGCTGTGGCTTTGGGCAGGTCATTTCACCCATCAGAGCGTCAACTTCCTCACTGATGAAATGAAGATAATTATAGTACTCACCTCTGAGAGTTATTTTAAGGAATCAGGAACTAGTGCCTGCAAAATATTTAGCTTGATGACTGATACATAATGACGGGTCACTAATTCGGTCAACATTAAAGTGCCTTATTTTAATTAGGTGTCAGGTTGAGCCACATCTGAAGACCCAAGGACAACCACATACACTGAGCAATGAATCTCTCTCATCTTCCCTCCTGGGCCCAGACAGCCTCAAGGGCACCAAATCACTACCTCCATCTTTATATTCTCCAAGGGCCTTGCAGAAGACTTGGCGTGTAGTTAGCTTACAATTAGTACTTTTGGGATAAAGGGAAGACAGCCCCGTCCACAAGACCCGTACAAATGCAAGAAATGAGTTTCTCTGTCTAGAGACTTTTATAGTGAGGGGGTAAAGTCAGCCTCCCTAGCCCACATACAGCTATTGCCTAGCTGGTGACCACAGGCAGTGCAGCTCAAGGCATAGGGTTCTCCCTCCAGTTAGTTTTTATCTTTGCTACTTTTAAAGACATATGATCTTGGCCTACTTTGTCTTAACTTCTCTTACCTCAGTTTCTTCATCGATAAAATGGAGATAACAATACCTAAAAGGTATTTGAAAAGTTTGTGAATGGACAGGTATTTGGCCTAACAGTCAAGACACCGGTGTGTCCCATGACAGAGAACCTGGGTTTGACACCTGCTCTGGCTCCTGTCTCCAGCCTCTTGCTAATGCGGCTCTGGGGAGGTACCATGATGGCTTCGGTAATTAGGTACCTGCTGCCCATGTGATTGGGTTCGCAGCTCCTGGCTTTGGCTTCCACCCCACTCAGAGCCTTGGCCTTCGGGGAATGAACCAGCTTTCTATCTCTCTGCCTCTTGAAAAAGAAAATGAAATCCAAGCATACAAGGGGTCTTCAAAAATTTTGTGGAAAATGCGAATTATAAAACAAACTATATTTGGATTTCAAGTTTTTTTGCACCAAAATAAACTTATCCTTTTTAAAACAGTACTTTTATTATTTGAGAATCAGAGAGACGGAGAGCTCCCATCTGCTGGATCACTCCGCAAATGCCTATGTGGGCTGGGTGGAGCAGAGGCCAGAGCCATGAATGGAATCCAGGTCTCCTCTGTGAGTGGCAGGAACTGATTAGTTGAGCCATTACTGCTGCCTCTCACAGTCTGCATTAGGAGGAAGCTGGAGTCAGGAGCCAGATCAGGAATCAAACTCAAGTACTACTATGTGGGTTGCAGATCTGCTCCCAAACTGGTTTTTTAATTCCATTTCCCAGGAACTTAATGAAGTGCACTTAAGTGTCTCAGGTTGGTGGGGAGAGTTAAATGATACTAGGTATATACAAAACTGTTGCTTTAGTGACCGATACATAGTAAATATTCAACAGTACTGCTGTAGTTGTGGTTCTTACTATCACTACAAGTAATGTGGGATCATTTGTAAGGCAGTAATAAACAAGCAATTTACTGGAGTGATGACAAATGTTTTCGATACCTTGCCTACATTATTTTATTCGATATATGGATATAAACACTTTAAATCATCTTTGTTGGGACTAAGGCTATTCTAGTCATGACATATTTCAAGATATTTCAAGCTGGTTATTTTCCTTGAAAGACTTTTAAAAAAAGCTTAACTCCTACAAGCTTCTAGTTCAAGGATACGGAGTTAATACAGCATAGTAGAGCTGTTAAAAAAAAAAAAAAAAAAAGGCACTCAGCACTCCCACTGGTCTTACATAGTTAGCCTGTTTCCCCAGAGTAGTGAGGGGGAGGAGAGCCAGCCAGCAGGTGAGGGCACCAGAGGCTGCTGGGAGTCATGGCTTGGACCCGTCACTCACCAGCTCCCAGGCCCTCCGGGACTGTCCCGGAGATCCTAAACACAGCATTTCTTCCAGTCCACCCTGCCCAGAGGGATAGCAGCTTGCAGAGGATGTGGAGTGAAGGTCATGCAGTGAGGCTTTGGGGTGCCACTGGTAAAGCGCCACTGGAACTTGGTGAGAAAATCCAGCCTCTGAGAGAAGCCACCTGCGCAC